TCAGTTTGTACCACTTTTTCCTTTATTGAGTCTATTGTATTTGGTGTGGCTCCTGATGCTTTGTAAACTTGCTCATACACACCTTGGAAGAATTTCTGACTGTTCCCTAGAGTTTACTGTTTTTGGTAACATCGTCCGGGACGATATTTATATCGGCCTGGAAGATCGGTTCAAAAACAGAAACCCTAATTAGGGCATCATCCTCATTAAGGTAGCCGTCATAAAGCGATCGGCCTGAACGATCCTTGTATCGGCCAAGACGATAGGCTCAAATCAGAAAGAATCAGCCACCATGATCAATTTAGGTATTCTTTATTTTAATACATCGCCTAGGACGATCTCAATATCGGCATGGACGATGAAGCACAATCATGTCTAAATTAATCTGGTAATTATGGAAAGCAATTAAGGCCGTAGGCCGGGCCGATCGCAGGATCTGCCAGGACGATGTCCTGGACGATTGACATCGGCCATCCTCTATTCTGGGCGATGTTCAGGACGATTGTCCTCGGATTTGAACTAATCGGCCAGGACGATGTAACCAATTTTCTTCTGATCGTCTAAAATCGTCCCGGCTGATTGAGCTTATTTTGTATTGATCGGCCAGGACGATAAAGTCGTCAAGTTGCATTAATGAGTTCGTTTTGAGATCTTCTATTTAAGCTTTTGACAAGACACTTTTGTAAGTGTCTTTGACAGCTATTGTAGCTTCGTTCTTTTGGGGGAAACTTGAAGAGAGAGCTTGAAAGGGAGAGGAAAGGGTGGAGTTTGAGAAAGGGAGAAGATCCTTAGAGGGGGGGAGCTCAAGGGAGTGTGGAGGGAGATTCCACACGGTTGCTCCGACGAGCTTGCACCTTAGTACCGTCGGATTCAAGGCTTGTCTTGAGGGAAGTTTACAGAAGAAGAATATATCTTTGGTGTCAAAGGACCCGGCTACTCCGCCGCACCGGGGAAGGTGATTTTGGTTTGTGATTGTGCTTTGATTATAAGTAGATTTTTTAAAATGCCAATTCACTCCCCCTCTTGGTTAGGATCGGGCTGATTCTTAAGGTCTTAACATCCATAACTAACTTTCAACAACATAACAACATAAGCCTCTTATATCAACCCAAATCACTATACCTCACTAAACACCATACACATTCCATTAATTTATTAATCTCCTTAAGCTCATTAATACTCTCTAACTTACCCATAACCTAAAGCATGTTTATCATATATTTATTAATTTAAATGTTAATTTATCACATATCTAATATTGTTCATTACATATCCAAATCTCATGTTTTTATATCAATATTTTCATTAATGAAATGTATTTTAAATGCTAATTTTCGGATTTACCTAAATTCCAATTTTTGGAAACCTAATTCTTCATTAATTTCATTCAATTTGCATGTTAAAACATCCCTCTTACCTAATTATCATTTTAGAGTATTTAATTTTCTGATTAAAAAAAATAGAAATTAAGGAAAATGATTTTCTTTCCAAATTTTCATTTTCTCTTGTTTAGAGACTTCCCAAATCTCCTAGGAACAAAATTTGTTAACATGCAAGCTTAAAATCACAAAATTAGAAAAAAAAACCCTAATTTTAAAACTCCAAAAATCTTTAGAAAAAAATCAATTTCATTGCTTAATTATGCTTCTAAATATTTCTTAACAACATTCCTAAAGAAAATTTAATTTTAAAAGAAACCCTAATTTTGTATCATAAAGTTTTTCTTAAGAAAAATTCATTTTTATGACTTAGAAACATGCTCATAAACACGCCCTATCTTTTTTCTAAAAAAACCCCAATAAAAAGCAAAACCCTAATTATCTTTCTCCAAGAAAGCTAAAAAAAAAGAGATGTTTATTGCATGAGAAACTTACCTTTCTTCTTCCCTAAGCCTTCCCTTTCACTTTCTTCGAAAAGCATGCTGGAAACCGCCGCCGGCCGCCGGATTTCGAGATCTCCCGCGGCTCCTTTTCCGCTCGCCCTTTCCTTCGTTCGGTAGAGAGAAATGAATAAGGGATTGAAATAATCGGTCGCTTAAGGATTTAAGAGGGTTTTTAGGAAAAAGACGCATGTGACACTCCCAATTTCTCCCCTACTAGCTCATGGAGGACAAAACGGGTATAAAGGGTTAAAATTTACTTAAACATCTTCGGCGATTTTAAATTTCCAAATCGTGCGAAATTGTGTATACTTTATTTATACCATTCCGATCGAAATTTCGTGTAGAATTTAATAAAATTTATTGCGTCAAATTTCGACGACTTTGAAATTTCCCCTAATTTTGTCGAGGCGCATCGAAATGCGTGCGACGCATCCGATCGACAATTTTCGAGTTTTACATCTTAATTGTTGTTTCTCCCTGTAGATGATCTTCTCATCTCATATTTGTCTAATTTTTCTGTGGGCAACAAATTTCCTCTCTGTTTTTGCATTTTTTTTCCTCCAAGACTTCAACTTGTTTTCTCCTTGTTCATGTTGTATGCAACAATTTTACTTATTGGATTTGCCCATCCCTTTGCTACACTACAACTTGTATGTTGATTTCCCTCCTTGTTTTTTGTTCACAGCAATCTAAATTATTTTGTTTTTTTCTTAAAACAAATTATAGGAACTCCTTGGAACCAAAAAATGACAGTAATTGGAGCATGGAAGCTACAACAATCAGCCAAGCAATGACTTAACACTTGGAATTAGCGTCTTTGTTAGAGAACCGAGCATTGTAGCTATAATTTTGTTGTAGTACTGGGAACAAAATATGCGACTTTTGCTGCAGTAAATGGCTGCTTCTATGGTCTCTTGCTACATGGACAGTAGCTAGAAAATTGACTTTGATGTGACAAGGAATTTGAAAAGAAGAAGAATAGAAAGAAGAAGGAATTTTGGAGAGATTTTTTATTGGATTTATTACATCACTCAAAGTTTTAAGTAGATAATTAAAATTAGGATAAATTTTAATTACTCATAATCAAACTCAACAAAAAGAGTAAAACCTTTCTATAGCAAACAAGATAAATTTGAACTGATAACTGTAGTAGGAATTACACCAATCCTCTATTAAAAATTCATAGCAAGTCTATCTAAGCTAGCTAAAAAATTCAACTCATCGTTATTCTATCATAATTGAAATTTTGATAAAATGGATTAGGTTTTGGGGCTTTAGTCTGCTTTTTATTATGCCTAATTGACCATTTGATTGTGCTTATAAACTCCTGATGACATCTTCTTCGATCTCAATGGTGAGATATGACAATAATCATCATTGATAGTCTCCATTAAGAAATCAAATTGGTTGGAATCAGGCTTGGAATCAACTGTCTCAATCTCCTGATCCCTTCACGAGCTTATTCCCAATTTGTGATGGTAGTTTCATTTCATGGACTTCTTTGACATGGATGATGGTAAGATTCACTATTCCTTTTATGCAGGAGGGTGGCTTTTTATGATCTTTCAGTAATGGAAACTTATCCAGTTGTGATAGCTCTTATTCTATTGCTCTTTGGAAAGCAAATTTTTCGTCCTTTCGAATGTCTTTGGTAGTTGAAGGTACATTCTTTGCAACTGTATGCAATGTGGACCCCACCTTGATTTCCTTCACTATATGGGCCTGCTGATCGAGTTTGGATACATTGGCATATTTGGTTGTGATGTGTGAAAGATGGGTTGTATGTCTTGCTTCTTAGTTTGCTTGCATCTACATGTCATCTTCTTATGATAGAGAGAACAGAGATTTTTCTTTTTTCTTTAGTAGGGCGTGCTAATATTAACAGGAGTTTCTAGCTAGAATGAATTTTTAGTATGATGCATGTCTTGCATTTTTAAAAACATTAAATATGTGAACTTCATAAATGAATATTTATTAAAACACCTCTTTTAACTTAATTAATCAATATCCATGCGTTGCATTGGAGTAAGATGATTAAAAAAAGTAATTAAAAGTAATGTTATATGTCATATGTGGATAGCTATTAAATAAAATTATAAAAAAATAATTATAAAAAAATTAACTTAATTTCAATTGAATTTAAATATAGAAGTAATGATGTGCATGATGTGATAGTTATTTATTAAGTAAAATAGTTGTAGAATTTAAAGTCAAAATTATATCATGTAATAGTGTTATTAAATATATTTAATTTCAGTTTGAAAACTATATCATGTGAAGATTATAGGATGCACTAAGCATCACATGGAGTCATGTACTCTAGTTCTCATGCACTCTAGTTATATATTACATTATAATTTTTATCTTCAATAATATTAAAATTAAATTTTAATTCATGTAGCCGACCCCACGTATTGGAATAAAGGCTTGATGTTGTTGTTTACTTGATGAGATACTTCATATTAAGTAGGCCCAATTATGCATTTGGTGAATGCTCACCATAATTGGTGACATAAAATAAATCAAATAACTCATATAATTGACAAAGCAATCATAGACATAACCACTAGATAAATGAACTAAGATCCAAGATGAATAAAATTTATCATAAATTTCTACACTATTTATAGAATATGGTCCTAAAAAATGAACTACCGAACTTAATAACAATGGATTAAAATCATCATCACCCCACCATTTGCCTTAACTACATGTGTTGGCTTTGTGAATCTCATTATCCATTATGCTGTGTTTAACTCTCATTTCATCCAGAGGACTAAGATAATCTTGACAAAATTTGAAGGACCGTGATGTTCAAAAAACATAAATGGATTCAAATAACATCTACACAAACATAAAGATAATCACTAAATAGATGAGCTAAACTTTGAGGTTGGTCTCAAAGATCTTTCATTTTCATGGGACTAAATATTTGACTTAGTTTTGGGTTTGAACTACATGTTTAGCACCTTACTAAATTTTAATCCTTGTAAAAGTTTAAAATTTCGTTTGTGGACTTGTTTGCATTGTATACATCTATTATCTAGTTCAATTTTGTTTACTAATCCTTTTTTTCACTTTCACTACTGTTTTTTTTTTAAATATTTTGTTTGCTTAGGTGACAGAGGCTTTAGCTCATGCTGGTCTTGAGTCTTCAAATTTGATTGTGGGGATTGATTTCACAAAAAGCAATGAATGGACAGGTTATCTCATTAGACGATCATATTTTTAATTGCTTCTCTTTCTCATCATATGTCAATACAATAATTTCCATATTCCAACTTTATAAGATGATTCTTCTTTTGCCAGTCGTTTTGACCATTTCTGAGGGCTTGGTAGAAAATTTTTAAGTGCACCATGCAATTTGATACCATTTTCGCCAGATTTTTTATATTTTATTTTTGTGCAAGCATTGATTTCATTGCTATTCTTTCTATTCTTCAAACTTTGAGAGTGCTATATTGTTAAGGTAATGATGAGCTATTAAATAAAAATATTTCTTTATAATTTTAAGTTCTAATTTTCACTTTCAATTGTAGAAATCTGTATAATTTAATTTCCTATGCCAATGGTCCGGTGAGGTGCCCTTATTAAATTAGGTATGCTTGTGCACGATATTTAGCTTAGATGAGCAAAATTATTTTGTAATTTCCTACCATGCTAGCTATGTTGCAATTTAATAGCCGCCACCTTTATGACTGTTCAACTTTTAGTCCCTCCATCTTGAAAATCTTTATTATCTGTCGTTAATTCTAGGTAAAATTTCTTTCAACCGCAAGGGTCTGCATGACATTGGAGACACTCCAAACCCATATGAGCAGGCTATTTCTATCATTGGTAGAACACTATCTTCCTTTGATGAGGATAATCTTATTCCTTGCTTTGGATTCGGAGATGGTTTGTTGCTCTTTTCTTTCCTTAGATTATCTATTAAGAGTTGTTTTGTTACTTTTTTTTTTATTATTTGTTAATTTCTCTTGCAGCATCCACTCATGATCAAGAGATCTTCAGTTTTTATCCTGATGGAAGGCCTTGTGATGGCTTTGAGGAAGCCCTACGGCGGTATCGAGAAATAGTTCCGAATCTCCGGCTTGCAGGTGAAGTGGTTCTTATTCTCTTTGTTATGGTGTTAATCTTTCTTTTTATTAATCAAGTGTTTCTTTATTGTTATTATAGGGCCTACATCATTTGCTCCTATTATTGAAACTGCAATAGGAATTGTTGATAGCACCGGCGGTCAATATCATGTTCTTCTAATAATTGCTGATGGACAAGTTCGTTGATATCTTATTTTTTATGCACTTTCTTACCTATTGCTGTTAGGCACTAAAAAATCTTGCTGATTTGTTCTTGTAACACATGTTAATCAGGTGACACGAAGTGTTGATACACAACATGGCCAGTTAAGTCCACAGGAGAGAGCTACTATAGATGCTATAGTCAAAGCCAGGTAAATGTTTTTTTTTCTATTTTTGAAATGCTGTACTTCTGTATTTTAGTCAAGTAAATATACTTATACTTTATCTCTTTGTTAGTAATTATCCTTTATCAATTGTTTTGGTTGGAGTTGGTGATGGCCCATGGGACATTATGAGGGAATTTGATGATAACATACCTTCACGTGCATTTGACAATTTTCAGGTTTTTTAAATGTATCGACATATGTCAAATACAATCTTTCTTTTTTGAAAATTTTTTATATTAAACTGTGCTTTGTTTCTCTGTCGTCTAGTTTGTAAATTTCACAGAGATAATGTCAAAAAATGTCCCTATCAACAGAAAGGAAACAGATTTTTCCCTTTCAGCTCTTATGGAGATTCCTGCTCAATACAAGGCAACATTAGAGCTCCAGCTTTTAGGGTATTCTTTGCTTCAGAATCTGTTGTTTGGGTTTTATCTTGATTTGTCTCGAAGCAAGGCTTAGTCATAAAATTTTGTGGTTCTTTCATTCCCATTTTTAGTTGCAGGAGAGGGACTCCTCTGCGTGTTTGTCTTCCACCACCAACTAGGAGCCGTGATTCTGCATATAGCTATCCAAGATACTCTAGAGAAAACAGCTTTGATCAAGGTGCTGGTAATCATGTTTCGGTTTATAGCAGTCCTAGATACTCAATAGCAAGCAGCTTTGACAAAGGCACTGGTATTAATAGGAGCAAATCTGCTGTCACATCTGAGAGCTCTCTTGAAGATAAATTGGTATGCTCAATAATTCAGTTTTAAAGTTTGATTCTAACTTCAGAATTTCCTTGGCCTTGAATTGCCATTTCTTCAAGGGAAATATTATATTATTCTTGAGCTTTTATTTAATTGATTACCATTTCCCACTTATATTTTTTATTAATATTTTATTAATTGTAGGAGAGAGTTATGTCCTCAAGGAGTGAGAGATCTATTTTCAATTTTGGCGTTTTTCAAAATTGAAGTTTTTTTCCCCTTTTGAGAAAAAGTTTCAGATTAACTGCATCGACTTTGGAGATGGATAGAGGGTGTTGTGAGAATTTCAAGAGTTGGCATTGGAATCATAAGGTGCCTAGTGATATTTACTGCATTTACATTGGGGAGGGAGAGAATTTGGAGGAGTGGAGAGGCTGGCTATAGAATTTGGGTAAATGGCGCATTAGAATTCTGGGAGTGATGTGATTATTTTACATTAACTATAAATAGCAATTTAAAGAGTGGCGATAGAACACTATGACCGGCTATCTACCTAAATATAGGTTTAAAATGGTCTAATGGCCCTTTTAGTTGAACCAAGCGGGCAAAGAATGCCATGTCCATTGCTTTAAGAATCACAAATTGGACTATCTATGTAACCTTTAATAGGGAAAGGGATGGAGCAATGTGATGGACCGACGTGTGAGCCGGTGGGCCCCACTAGGGTGGGCGATGGGCAAGAAGAGAGGCGGTATTGTTTATGAATATTTTAATTACAATTGAGAATAAATTAATTAGGGAAAGAAATCTAATTTGAATTTAAAATCTTATAGTGAATTATTTAGGGAAAACTCAGGGGAGTTAATATTCATTATGTAAGGAGGAATTGTTTAGGAAAATTTTAATTACAATTAGGAGGGAATTATTTAGGGCATGTAATCTAATTTGAATTCAAAATCTAAAAGTGAATTGCTTAGGAAAAAGGATGAATTAAGGTGGAATTATTTAGAAAAGTTTTAATTATTTTTTGGAGGGAATTAATTAGGGAAATAAATCTTATTTAAATTCAAATCTGAAAGTGAATTATTTAGGGAAAGGGGGTTGATTTGAGAGGGAATTAGGAGAGCCTATTTAAGGCTAATTATGGGGTGATTTCAGATCATGCTTGATTTTGTTGGAATTAGTTTTGCTTAGGTTGAGTGGGCTCTAGCTGACGGCTAGGGATTTGGGAGAGCCGGATCTTCCTCTCTAATTGAAGATTCAATTGTATCTTGTGTTTTTCTTCTTAGTTCTTTCAATAAAAAAAAGAGTTCTTGTATGTTCTTCTTCATAGTTTCCCTTTATTATCTGTTTTTGCTGAAATTAAATTTAAGCCGAGGTTTTCTAAATTTCTGCATCCACTTCCTATCAAATTAGTATCAGAGCCTAGATCTAGGTACCTATGGCAGGAAGAAAGGTAGAAGTCCTAGAAGGGGAGATCAGATAATTGAAATCTGATTTTGTAGAAAAGATTTCAGATTTTAAAAAACAATCTTCAGCCATCCATGAGAAGATCGATGGGAAGTTTACCATCATGGAGGAGATGATAAGAATGATGCTCGAGTTTCAAGCCAAAACGGCTTTGTCGAAGGTGGGGGAAGCCGTCGCGGCCAATAGAGTGGAGGAAACCCTAATCCGATAATGAGAGGGAAATATCAAGAGGTGGAAATGTTGGGGCAAGAAGACGATATACCCATTTGGAGCCAGTTTCAAGGAGGGGAAAGGGTGAAGGAGTGGGATTTTCGGTGGAGTTGCAGAGTTTGGAAGGAGAAAAAGATAGGGAGAAGATAGAAGTGCCAAAAATGGTTCATCCACCCTTACAATAGTATCAAGGGGTGTTCCAGCTGGTTCATAAGTTGCCTCAACGAGAATATGGGCATGCTGTCATCTTGAAGGAAGGAATCTCACCTATCAGTATTCGTATGTACCATCATCCCCAAATCCAGAACGAAAAAAATTGAGAGATTAATCATGGAAATGCTCAAGACAGGGATCGTTTGACCCATTGTCAGTCCATTTTCTAGTTCACTGCTATTAGTCGAGTGCTTCAACAATAGTTTCATTCGTTCCACCTCGAGGACAAGGTGACTCTTTAAGAGGGGAGTATTAATGAATCGACGGGTGAGTTGGTGGGCCCCATTAGAGTGGGTGACGGGCAAGAAGAGAGAGCGGGAATTGTTTATGAAAGTTTTAATTACAATTGAGAAGAAATTAATCAGGAAAAAAATCTAATTTGAATTTAAAATCTAAGAGTGAATTCTGTAGGGGGGGGGTGGGGGCGCTGGTTTGAGAGGGAATTAGGGGAGCATATTTTAGGCTAACTATAGGGTGATTTCAGATTATGCTTGATTTTTCAGGAATTAGTTTTGCTTAGTTTAAGTGGGCTCTAGCCGACAGCTAGGTATTTGGGAGAGCCGGATCTTCCTCTCAAATTAAAGATTCAACTGTATATTGTGTTTTTCTTCTTAGTTCTTTCAATAAAAAAAAGGTTTTCTTATGTGTTATTCTTCGTAGTTTCTTTTTGTTATTTGGTTTTGCTGAAATTAAATTTCAGCCAAGGGTTTTTTAAATTTATGCATCAACATTCTATCAAATTGGTATCAGAGCCTAGATCCATGTACCTATGGGGTGGAATAATTTAACCCTTCTCAAGTAGTTGTTTTTTAACCACTTTTTTATGGTGATGAGCTTCGATGCCTCGATTCTCTTTGATTTGGGATCTCTTCTTGTAATAATTTTGTGCCTACATAATGTTATTAGAATAAAAGTTTCTAACTCCTTGATGACACTTTATCATGTTTTTTATATCTCCTATTTTTTCTATTTTGATTTTTACTGTTGCTCTACCCTTTTCTTTTCATGTCTTTTGTGGCTTCTTTCTATTGGCAAACCCCATCTCTATTGCAACCATCCTTTTGGCTACATGTCCATCCTTTTGGGTATGTGCATGGACCGTATGAGTTCGTAATCTTCTAAGGTACATGGATTGCCCTCTTGGGCTTTTGACTGATTAGAGGATTTTATTCTTACGGAGACATCATCTGGTAGTTTAGTTGTGTCTTTTGAGTATTAATATGATTCTTGCTGTCTTCCTTTTCAATATTTCCTCTTTTTATTTTGTGAAATAGCTTAAAAGCTTTGGACCCTCAATGTCTAGTTTTCGGTAAAGATCAACAAAAACTTATTCCAAGTTCATTAATATGTTATCTAAATTATTTATATTATTCTAGGCAGTTTTCTTTTTGGTTTGGATCTATTGATCTTGATTTGACATAGTTTGGGTTAAATCTGTAAGGAACGTCTAATGGTCTGATATAATTTCCCTTTAATTTCGTCACGCAAAGTCTTATGGTCAATATGACCATGATTCAAAATTGAGATGAAGGATTATTGTGAGCCTGGTCTCAATTTAGATTCCTATCAATCTAAACTTAACAAGATGATGGGATGATACTTCTTCAATCAAGGCTTTAATATTTCATTGTGAGCGTAAATAATCTTTCATTAGAATTTGATTTGAGTGCTTTTTGGCCTACCTACCTAGATGTGACTAGGTTTAGGAAATAGCAAGGATAATCCATAAGGTTATTGAATGATCCTTATTACAAGAATTCTAGAGAGGGAGCGATTAATTGAAATTTACTGTAATGAAATTTTGCACTTGATTTTGAAGAGTTCTTGCTTGAAGATTGATTTTTCTTTCATCTCAAATCCTTTTTCTAAATCAATCCATGATTTCTTGAATGAGAAAATGACCAAGATGGTCTCTTGACTCATGAAGGACCAAATTAGTTCCCAACTATATTTAATGTTCATTTTGGCCCTTCAACTCTTTAAAGAGGAACCAAAATAGTCTCATAATAGGACTATTTTGATTCCTTTTTAAAGACTTAAGGGATCAAAATGATCCTTTAATATAGTTGGGGACCATTTTGATCTTTCATACAGAGGCAAGAGATCTTTTTGGTCATTTTCTTTTTCTTGAATGAATAACTTGGAGTGAAGTGAATAGAAAAATTTGGATAGACAGGGTCTATTTTAGAGAGAATTTTTTTCTTAAAGTCTTAAGATGGAGGGTACATGAGTACATACATGCATTCATTTTAGACTTATAATACCGTTCTATTTATAACAAGAAGATGAAGATAACTACAATTACAACTTCTAATAAATATGACTTTCAAACTTATAATGGATATTGCTCCACATATTGGGATTAGTTATTAAATTGGTTAAATGTCCTAATCTCGAATAAGAATTGAGTGAGAGAGGAGCACACCCCTTCAAGATTTCCATGATGATTTGGTACTTCATGATGAGGTCGTTTTATGGATTACCGGAAGCCTTCCTTTGTAGCATATTTTTTAAATTTTGTGCCATCTTTTGCATGTTCATTGTTATGTAGCTCATTGTGTGTTGGTGAAACCCAATTAGCCTCTTATGTAACCTTTTGTATCTCCACGATAGCCAAAATATTGATATAACTGACCTAATTGATGTGTTATGGATCATTGGAGTTTGAGTTGGACCCAATACACTAATGAATAAACATCTATTAACCCAAAAAACAAAAATAAGTTAGGTCGCAATTAGCATATAGGAATTACAATCAATGTTTAAAATTGCGTATTCGGGTACTGAGGCTTTTTTCATTCGTGAGGCGAGGCGCAAGCCTCAAGGCGTTTTGAGGCGTAAACCTCAAAATCAAAAGATTGCGTAAACATAAAATGATAAATTTTTTATATACTAATGAGTGAATAATATAAAACATAAAAAACATAAGATATTAAGTGAAATCAAAATATCCCAATAATAAGATAACATGAAATATAGTTCAACTCAAAATTCTATCTTTCTCAAATCCCAGTATTCTTTTCTTTAATATATAATTCCAATTTCCAAAAATAAATAGAAATGACATATCACATAAGAACTCATAAGTCATCAACACTGTCATCACAAGGGGTTCTTCATTTGAATCATCATTATGATGAATTGCTCTCTCCCCTTCCTCCTCTCCTATAGAGTCTAATTTCGGGCATTTACTTCAAGATTTATGTAAGTTTTAATATATATAGCGTGAGGCGTAAGCCTCATGCCAGTGAGGCGAGGCGGGCCTCAACCAAGTGAGAAAAAAAACTCGAGGCGTAAGCATCGAGGCGTTTTTAACTGGAAGTGCAAAGACGGGCCTCGAGGCGAGCCTCATATTGCGCAATTTTAAACCATGATTACAATCATTATGTTTCAACATATGTGGGATTATTTAATCTACTTAGTCATGCTGATGTAGATGTTATAGTCTACACTATTATTTTAAACACTAGCTTGTTGCATTGCATTGGCCTTTTGTGCGTTAATTTGCAATTTTTTTTTTGTTGAAGGAGATTTTTTATAATTTTCCTAGAGTGTAATAAAAAATTACTTTAGTAAGTTGACCTTAACTACATGATATGTTTCTTTAAGGTATGTTTTGGTCATATATTAACATTAATGAATATCATATACTATTATTTGAAATCACCCATCATTGTTTGGATTTTGGAATTGTTCGTAATATATGATACCTAAATCATATCTTATCTTAGGTTTATTTGATTCATATACAATACACTCTAAAGCCAAAGTCTTTGTTCGTTAAGATAAGATGTATTACATATAATATAACTTACACACTCATATTAGTATGGATCAGGTTGATCTAGTTATCATAAAAGCCTTAATTAAGTTCAATGAATTGTTGATTATGGACCGACTCAAACCACTTTTAACTTGATTCTTACCAAGACTTGCCAAGCTTTATGCCACCCAAAACATTGAGTTGCCTTACTAAGGAACATATTATTTGGTCCTCCTTAGATACAAACTCGCTTGAGTGACTTGAAGTCTTGTGAAAATTACTATCCAAAGATCTCGATGATTTATCTAGAGTCATAACTTTTTGATTTAGGGTTTTCACTATAATAAATTTAGGGCTACTCACCCTTTATTTTGAATTCATCTTAAAATTTCATCTATACCAGCTATGCTGAGTTTATTTTTTTGTATTTTTCTTATAATTATTTCATGTATGTCATCTTATACCACCAAATTTGATCCTTTCCCTGTAATTAAAATTCATTAAGTTGCTCACCTAGTCACTTTGTGTTTGGATTTCAACATGAGATACAAGTTGTGCAATATTTGGAGTCTTTTGTTTCCTAAGCATTGCTCATGCAAGACCTTCGGGAGAGTCTCCTTCTATGCTTTTGATTGAAATGCTTGAACTCACCAACAACCACATAAATGTGGAGGACTATAGCAGTGATTACAACTTCCTCTAATCTATATCACCCCAGGCCTGTTGTGTACTCTTGGTAATACCCTTGAGATCGTTGGAGGAAGTCACACACAATCATGATAAGTCGGCTAAGAAGCTGCACCATTGCCATAACAATGATAACAACATTGTGGTTTCTACCTCTAGAGGTGAGATGGGGTTCAATTGACCTCTGACCTCATTGAAAGGGATAGGTCTCCTAGTTGTCATGGTACTCGACTTATACTCCTATTCAATTGCCATTGGTGAGATAGTAGATTCATCCATGATAAGGAGTACTTTTGCTGACCATCATAAATGTGTGTAGCATCGCATGGTTGAGATTGATCAAAGTATTTTATATAAAGAGCATCAAAGTATTTTATTTTTTTATAAAGAGCATGAGTGCTACTTGTGTTACCATCTCTAGGGCTTGGTCAGTGGAAAATCTCAACAAAACCTCTCCTCATATAAATCTCAAGTTTATCAACTTCTATTCATAGTCAATTTCCACAAAAAATCCCGAAAGCCAAATTTTATCTTAATTTTCTTGCTTTCCCCTTTCTTTCCTTCTCCTTTTCTATAACTAGCTCCCAATTTTCCCCTTTTAATTCGCCTCTACAGAGCTATGGATGAGAGAGCTTCCAGGCTGATCGAAGGGGAGTGGCTTTGACTTAGTGTTAAGGTATTATATTCAAGTAATTGCTTAATTCCGTTATCCTAAAATGCCCGTAATTGCACTTCATCCTAACCATCCGATTTCCATCAGCCATTGTATCCCTGAGAAAGTGAATTTGCTGGAAATTAAAAGGCTGCTGTAGTGCTATACTTGCAATGAATAGTGTTATTTAATTTTTACTTCGGAAAAATTTAATTCATATAAGCTTATATACTCAACATTATCTATATATATTTAATTATTCATGTACTAAAATGATCTGAATAATTTATAGGAATTTATAAACATACTAATTTTAAGTTTTAAAATACGTGAAAAATGAGATATAAATTTTGAGACTTTTTACCTTTAAAAGTTTTTGAATCTTACGTAAGGTCCTAAAGTACTCGTCAAACGTAGTTGCCTTATATTTGAAACTTGCCCGCAATTCCTACCTATTAGACAACTATTAGCTAGACTCACTTAATATAAGACTAGCTATTCTGAGTTATGTATTTTTCTTGTTATTTATCATATAGCCCATCTTATATCATCAACTTGATCCTCATTTATAAACAAGGGATCAGTGTTTGGGCATAAATGAGATATAATCTATATTTTGGGCTAAACTTGCCCATTGAAATCTCTTTAGATTTCATTGTTATATATTTCTCTTTCCAGAGATTTGACTCTAAGCTTGGTTTAACTCATCTTTTCTCTAAGGGATTAATCAGCTTCTTTGTAAACCTTGATCACTTAAAATTACGATCCCTCTTTTTTTTTTTTTTGGACATTTAGGTCAATTAAGGCAAACTCACACACACAACGCATACACATAGACTCGAACCTTGGACCTCTTAATTGGAAGCCTAAGCTCTCAACCAATAGGCCAAGGAGAGTTGTGTAAATTACGATCCCTCTAAAGAGCTATTTGGTTTTATGTGCTTTTGTGATTAATTTAAAATATTACAACTTAACTGACCAAAGCTCCTTCCAAAATTCAGCATGAAATAGAATAGTATTTTTGAACAAGTAGGAAACGCGGAGTAACATCTGGCAATTTCTTTTGAATTTATGCGGCTTTGATGCCCATTGATTTCTCATATTTGTTTATGTTTTTCCCCTCACATTCCATTTCTTATAGCGAGTCTCTTCTAATTCTTTTTACTGGTTTTGCATGTCAAATCACTTCCTGTATCATCTACAGGGTCAAAGCTAATATTGGACCGTTAGTTTCACTTTAAGCATTCAGACTAATTTAATTTCTTATGTCAACAGGTATGCCCCATCTGCCTTTCCCAGCATAAAGATCTTGCATTTGGGTGCGGCCACCAGGTAAAAATATTTTAGAAAAATTTACATTGATTCCTGATTGTTCTTTAACCAAGACTGACCGCCATAATTTTTATAATTCACAGACTTGCTATAATTGTGGTAAAGATTTGCAGCTTTGTCCCCTTTGTAAACGTGTAGTATCCACTCGAATAAGGCTTTATTGAAAGATTGAACTTATATTGAAGGGAAAGGAGACTTTGATACTCTGCAGTATGTCTTTGGTACTATTTATTTTTGTGTCAAATATTCGATCATAATTTAAATTTATCAAAGTGGACATATTCAGGCAAAAATCATCAACATATTGTATATAACTGATTTGTATGAACTGTGCATCCTGCTCATTGTTGGCTCTTTTTCATTTTCATTGTAAATAACTTCTTTAATATAAGTAAAGGCATTTAAGGTGTTCTTGGGCTCTTTGTTTTTGCCTGGGTGACAAATTACTACCTTTATTACATATTATTTCCCTGATTTGTAGAGGCTCTGTTGATTTCAATTTTGTTTAGCAAGCCTATCATGTTGTCATGAGTAAGCCATTCTATCTGCACATAATAGTTAATGTAACATTTTATCTTATTTGCAAAGTCACACGCGCTCGATGTGCGAGTTAGGACAAAGCGATAAACATGTAATATTAAAATGAGGTTAAACTACAAAAAGAATTTTCTTGCTTTTGTATGCGGCCAATTTAGTTTCAAAATATTATATGTATTTTTTTTTAATTTATTCTCTCGGTTATATTAAATTGATTCAAAATAACCTCTTATGATTAAATTAGGATCAATTTTGTATATTCAAGAGATTAAATTGAGATCATTTTTAATCAATTGGTACAAGAAATACTGTTTTTGATCAATTTTGTATATGTAAAGGGATCAAGGTGAAGAGATGAGTTACTCTGGCTATCATTTTGACTGTATTCTTACTTGTAATGCAAAATCACAAGTCTAGATGGGAGTTGCAATGGTTAAAAGCTAATGATAAAAATTTTTTTGTATATGGCTGTGATGAAAATCAGTCAATCTTCAGTTTCTAGAGAAACTATGGCCTTCATGTAGAGAGTTGAAGCAACTACTGTGTTTTTGAAGATCAATGCTTGCATGTATATAGAAATGCGTGGTAATTTGACATCTTACTTGGAAATGAAGAAAAAATTAGTTTGTCAGTAATGTTTCAATTCCAATGCTAATTGGAATGTCTACACCTTTCCAATACAAACCTTTTTATCAATGATCAAGCTCCTAAGAGTAAATCTTCTATCCATAAGATCCATTCAATTAATATCAATCAAAAATTATTTTGAAATATAAGGTCTACTTGATCACTCTTAATCAATCCTCTAAATGTAAGTGAATTTGATCATTTAACATTGGTCTTATCATTCTAAATATTGTCTTATTAGTGGAGCTTAATTGATTCATAATATATGTAAGCAAGGTCAAACAATATATAGCTAGGATCATAAGTAGGTCTATACATTTAAATCCCATAGTTGTATTTTGATAACGCCTAACTTGCATTGTAAGGCTCAATTTATAAAAACTAAATTATTTGCATAGGAACTTATTTAATATAATTATTTATAATTTAATTATAATTATATTTAGCTACTATGGTCATCATCTTCAAGGCTTTTAAGCTAATTACTGAATATTTACATTGATGATTTAATAATCTTATTTGATCTTAATGGGCTCAGCTCTTCTCTTTCAGGATGCATCTCATTAGCAAGAAGATTCTTAGAGACTCCAATCTCCTCATTCAAGGGCCATGAGTAGCTCACAGATTCTAACAATGGAACAATAGAAGAAAAGCATGTGCTCTATTCTAACTAGGGCTTCGTCATTATTTTCGAAATCTGAAGCTTCTTCCATGAATGGTGCTTCTTCCATGAATGGTGACATCGGATTCTCCACTCAAAGACATGGCTCAATGGCATCCAATGGAGGCAGTAAATCCTCGCCGAAGCCCCAAGTCTAATGGTATCTCCTTCGATCAAGTCAACAGGGATGTTAGGTCCGTGAACTGCAGCATAAAAAGCAAGCATCAGTTACAGAATAAACGATGATCGTTCTTTGCGGAAAAAAGATCGAATAAGAAGAGGTCTTCTTGCGAAGAAACAAACCCCAAGGGCCAAGACCGAAGGTCGTCCGCCCCGTCCGTTCGCGAATGAAAATCAGAGCTCCATTGCTGGTGTAGAGTTGCACGCGTTCTTCGGCTCCATCTTGGCTGTTCGACTACGCTCCCCCTTCCTGTCGGATCGGAGAAGTTACGCCATTTTGATCAGAAGCAACAACGGGAGCTCGCTGGCTGTGAAGGTAACTGTCTCCTTTTCGCGCGCTTCTTCGGCCAAATCCCGTAAATCCGCCGAACCGAGGGATTTAGTAAATCCCGGATTTATGCGGTAAATCCTTAAATCCGGGATTTAACGCGCGCACAAAAACCGTTTGGCTTGATTTAGCACTAAATCCAGCTTAAATACCGCTGTAAATCCGATACCAAATTGCCCTAAAGATAGCATTATTGCCATCCACCCATCCATATAAAAAAGAAGGGAGTCCTTCGCCGATTAGCCTGAGACGCCTTTCTCGCCTGCGAAACAAGTAGCTCTTTGACGGAAAAATTGATTTTAGATATGACCAAAAAGCTCCAACTTCCACAAAACCCACCAGCTCAGGAACCATGTTCCAAATCCATTTATCGCATTCCCAAAATCCTCACCGACGTCAACAGCCATGCGTTCAAGCCCAATCTCGCCTCCTTCGGCCCTTACCACAACAACTGCCACCATTTCTACCCCATGGAGGAGCATAAACACCGTGCCCTCATTCAATTCCTCCGCCGCATCGCTAAAGCCTCCAAAACCCCCAATGACGTCCTCATTGCCATGAGAAGGGTGGAGTCCCGCCTCATTGCTTACTACGACCGCCTTCAAGTCGAGAAGGACGATGAGGACTGCTTAGAACGTTGCCGATTCTGTTGTCGTGATTGGCTTAAGGAGAAGGACCAGTTCCTCAAGGTTATGATTGTTGACGGCTGCTTCGCCTTAGAAATCATGCTAGCTGATAAGAGATTCGCCTCCGGGGAGCAAAGCGAATACGACTCTCACGATCCAATTTTTGGAGTGGAGAGAATGATCGAAGTTGTTCCTCGTCTGAAGCGAGATATGCTTATCCTCGAGAATCAGCTCCCGCTTTTAGCGCTCACTACATTGGCAACCATCGATGGATCAGAGGTAATATTCTAATTAATTGGCCTAATTAATATTTATTTTTATCAGAATAATCTACTATTTCTCTTAATTTTACCAAATTAGATTGGAGATGTGAATACTCTAATCAAAGATTTCTACAACCTCTCTTCGGCTTCACCAAAAGATCAGATAAGCGACGAATGCTTTCATATCTTAGATCTGTACAGAAAAATATTAACATCTGAGGGAGAGTACTTGCCGAGCTATAAGAAGAATATACAGTCAGCCACAAAGCTCAAAAATGCTGGAGTATTATTTTGTAAGAGCAAAACTAATTCCCTTAGAGACATTAGTTTCAATGGCGACATTCTATCTCTTCCCCAGCTAGAAGTTGATGACACCACTGAGTCATCGTTGCTCAATCTCATGGCCTTCGAGCGCTTACATGAGACTGCAGGTAACGAAGTGACAGCTTATGTCTTCTTTATGGATGGCCTCATCAAAACTGTTGATGATGTAGCTCTACTGAGAAATGAGGAGATTATTAAGGGCTTGGTGCATAGTGATGAAAATATTTTCAAAATATTTAGTAAGATTACCAAGGAAGCGACACTTGCGGGTTTGATGGACGACATAATCGGTGTGAACAGTAAGTTCAATACCTATTATAAGAAGATGATGCACTGGTGGAGAACAAATTTTGTTGAGACATATCTTGAGAGTCTTTGGGTCTTCATCTCACCATACGGAGGTTTGCTTCTCCTGGCTCTCACAATATTTAATACTATGTGCACCATATTGCGATATTATAAAGCATAGTTAATATTGACAAAGCGTTGAGAGAATTTTTATGTAATTTCAGTGCTTGATTATTGATTATCTTTTAGTGCTTGATTATTGATTATCTAAAGTTTATCAAATCAATTTCTGGTTTTGAAAAAAGTTTGATCTTGTAGACTGTTACTAATGCTTTGCCTTTATATTTCATTTTGCGATTTTTGCATGTAATTGGTTCGAATCGATAAGATATGATAGTTGAAATGGGGAATTGATGAATTTGTCAAGTTTTTGATGAATCACCCACTTTTAATATTGCTCAATTTGTGGTTTAGCTTTTGATCAAATATCTAGAAATGAAAGGTTTAGATTAAAAAACTATTAAAATCTACATACCTGATTTTCTAAACTCTCAACTATTTGAAGTTCAATAACTTTTAAGTAGAGGAAGACATGGTGATGAAATCTATATACCCAAATTTCCAAGGGGAAAGACAACTGTGTAAGTTCCAACCAAAGTGAATGAATAGTTTACGTTTTGAGTATTCACACCATGAATCGAATGAACCTGACATGATCATCAATAGTTTTTTTATAGCCCGTTTAGAATCTCCTTCAGATCTTCATATGGGGAAAATGATGAAACCCAGCCTAGAATAAAAAGATCAAATCCACTAAGAAACGATTGGTTCCTTATGGAGCTTCGAAGTGAGGTTATTTTTCTTCATTGTTATCCATGATTAAATGAACCACTAAAATGATTTTAAGCATATGATTTTCACCTTTGAAAAGCTGATGATAAAAAAAAGATAAAATTCAATCTCACTGCCTTTCAATATAATATATCACGAGATTATTAGATGCGGAGTGCGGATGGGGAGAACCGTCCGCACAAGCATTGTTCGGCGCTAGGTACCTGCACTCGGTAATGCTGGATAACGCTGGGTACCGATAGATATCCAGTGCTTATGCGGACGGTGCGCACTCCGCTCCTAATAATTTTTCCTGCAATGGAGGCTTCAGGAAAAGCCCACCCACCATGTCCTATTGGTGAAATCTGTGAATGTCCAATGGGAATCCATGGTTGAGAACAATAGAGAGGAATCACAGCTAAGCGCTACATGACATTTAAATCTATTTTGAGCAAAAAAATTCACACAACTTATATCAAATTACCTTAGGTCGCTGGTCCACTTTTCTTCCTAATCCTTCTACGGAAAGTTTATCTAGCCATCTAATTGTTGCTACTTGCTAGTGCAAGAACCATCTAGCCAAGCAAAGATTTTATTTATTGAGTAGTCTATCGCTACTAAATTCAATATATGCACTGAAAGATCATCCATGTTGATCTATCAAACTAAGATTTTATTTCAAACGGTTTTTTTATTGTTTTCTAAAATAAGTTTACTCGACTCTAATTTGCTAGCTTTGTATAAAAGAGATTTTTAGTTTAAAAAAACCTAAGAGAGCCATGCGGGGCGGCGAGATATATATATATATATATATTAAGAGAGAGAGAGAGAGAGGGTTAAAGGGGAGCTGATAATTCTCAAAAGAGATAAAAGAGAGAGAATTTTATTAGATTATTTAATTTTTATACAGTTTCAAATCAACTTTACAGTGTTTTATACTTTTATAAATAAAAAAGAACAATTTTTAGTTGACGGACCAATGGGGCTTGTGCCCTCAAGGGTTCCCACTATAAACCCCACTAGTGATTACATTAGATAATGATTTTATTATTTTATGTATGAAATCTTTATTTTTTTTATTTATATGGGAAGTTTGGGAAGAGGGGTAAGAATTTGGAAATGAATTTCTATGAAGGACTTAAAGGCATGCCAAGGCTAAAGATGTGTAGTGGAAGTGGATTTATGAGGTAATAAAATATATGGGTAAGCTCTTGGGATTGAGGATTTATAATCATAATAACTTGAATGTTGAATATGAATAAATCCTTGTTCTTATAAAAAGTTCTTTATTTTAATTTTTAGAAATATAACCCTTGATATTTGGGAACTTGGGGGAATGAAAGCTAGGAATGATAACTTAAAAAATGATGGAATTTATATTTTAGAATATCAAAAAGTTATGTTCATAAAAAAATCCCAAATTACAACTTTTGTTGGCTATCAAAAAATGGAAGCTTCAGCACCCATAAGATTGCAGAAAATAGAGGGATAGCGATAAATGATCCTAATGGATCGTGACCTAATGGAGGGAACCATTCTAAGAAAGAAGTTTACTATAGAGAAGAAGGTTTTCATCCTTTAATAAAAATTAAAAAAAAAAAAACTAATCCTAAGGAAGTATAAACTTAATCCTAAGAAGAAAAGGATGGCTTTCCTAAAGAGAAGAAGACCTACCCTAATTAAAGGGCTAACTAACCTAAGGGAGAGAAGGACAACCATGGTTCGACCATGGTTAATGTCTCGTGATTTTAGATCTTAAACAAACATGGTTAAAGCCCCGTGATTTTCTAAGGGCTGTTTGGCAACAAGTGGGATTTAACTTTAGTGGGATTTACTAAATCCTATAAATTCGGATTTAATAATTTCTAAGGGTGTTAAATCCTGAAAACTATTTGGTATGACAAATATTAAATCCTGAGAAATTGTTTGGTAACATATTTCGAGATTTATGGTAGTTAGAAATTTAAATGTGAAGAAGTTAATTATAAATTATAAATTAAATTTATAATTTAAAATTAAAATTAATGTGTTATTAATTTAATAACATTTTAAGTACAAGTTACTTATTAATTTTAACTATATTTAACAAATTATAATGATAAGTAATTTAATTAGAAATTAGCTTAATTATTAAATTATTTAATTACTAATTATAATATTATTTATTAAATTGCTTATTATGTGTTAATATAATAAGTATTTGATATCTAATTATATTAATAAGTATCTAATTAATTAGTTAATTTTTTAAATAACTAATTATTTAACTAATACACCTACAAATAATTATTTACTTAATTATTAATATTTTAAATTATATTAATTAAGTTAATCAATAATAACTTAGGGTGTGTTGGGAACGGCTGTTGTTGTCGATAAAGTAGGTTGTAAAATTATTGTATAGAAAATTGTTTAGAGAATAAAACATTTACAAATTAAGCAGTCATGCATGAATATTTAGGGAAGTTGTGAACACAAACATTTTAGACAAATTGTTAATGAAGGGGGAATGAAACAATATCACGCATGAAAATTGAACCATAGAGCAGATATTTCAACTGAAAATAGCGCATTATGAAGTGTTCCCAAACAGAGCCAAGTTCATGAAGTATGCTTTCTCACCCTCCGCAATGAATTATCATCATAATCAATGGAACCATGACCTGCAGAAGCTTCTTCTAATTGTTTGTTTGTATCCATATTATTTCCTTCTCTACACCAGCAATAACCATCTTCATCCAGTAAGGTGTAATGGGATAAGTGATAAACTATTTGAGCTTCTGAGAATCTAAAAAGATTAAACTGGGAAGTTGGATACTTTGTAAATACATGAAAATTTTTTGCCTTAGGTTACGATATGAAGGGCATAAATCAAAGAAGAAAAAAAAAGAGAGAGTCATCATAAGCAATAAATAAAAAACATTGAAATATATCATTTCTAAAGTTTGGGGCTCTCCTAAAAAAGCTTTACAGTTGTAGATCAATTAAAAATAAATCAGATGCATCTGATCCAGCCTGTTTGTTTTTTTTTTTCAAAAAAAAAAAAAAAAAAAAAATAAAAAAAATAACTACACTAACCTAACAAAAAACACAATTTTGCAGATAAAAGAAGAAAAGGTATCTGACGCTAAGCAATGATAAATTGAAAAACTAAACTCAATATATCCCGCAAACTGCTCTTACATCTCCACGAAAACCCAATAAAGAAAATCCAAAGCTCGATTGTAGAAATGAAATGAAAACCTATTTTTTTTAGAAGCGCAGCCAAGGGAATAGAATTTTACCTCAGAGGATTATTGCAATAAGCTTGATACGCCATCGAAAGATTATCTTGATAGGGCACGAATCTCGAGGAAAAATCAAGTTGGAAACTTTCAAAATTAAAATTGGAACCATCCGAACTCCAATTTCAGCAAACTTACAGTCGAACTGAACGTATCAGAAATACGAACCCAACGGCACAAAATTCGACTCAATTTGAGCCCAAATGAGTCCAAATCAAAGACCCGAAGTGCTGTTGGAAGGTTTGAACAACAATTTGGTTTATCAAACAGTTTCCAAACATGATGTGCTTATTGTCGAATCGAGCAGCTCGACGAGACAAATCTAACGAGCCCAAGATCGCCAAATTCCGACATCATTAAGACCTTCAAATGTCTAACGAACAATACAAGATCAAGGGATTTTATATCGGCCGTCCATCAAACCACTCCCCATTTACATTATTCTTTCACCTATTTACAGGCCATGCCACTCTAGAAATCTATAAATAGACCCCTCATTTCTCTTGAAAAGGAGGAGTCCAAGCAAGAAGAGAAGGAAGAAGAGAAGGAAGAAGTTCCTCCTCGACCACCGCCTGAGTTCCGCCGGACCACTGCCTAACGTAGTTTCTCCATCGGACCACCACCTGAGGCCCTCACCTTCGCCGGACCACCACCCGAGGCCCGGACTTCCACAGGACCACCACTTGAGACCCTGTGCTCCACTAGGACACACCTGACGCCCTCACCTCTGCCGGACCATCACTGGAGGCCCTCACCTCCGCCAGACCATTACTGGAGGCTCTCACCTCCGCCGGACCACCGCCTGACGTCATTGCTCCGCTGGTCCACCACTTGAGGCCCTGAGCTCTGCCGGCCCACCACTTGAGGCCTTCACCTCCACCGGACCACTGCCGGACGTCGTTGCTCCGCCGGACCACCACTTGAGGCCCTGGTTTCTGCCGAACCACCATTTGAGGCTCGGACTTCTCCTAGACCACCACGTGATGCTCAAACTTCTTTTGGACCACACCTGAGGCCTGGACTTCCACCGGACCACCACTTGAGGCCCTCTCCTCCGTCGGGCCATCGCCTGACGTCATTGCTCCGCCGAGCCACCACCTAAGGCCCGGACTTCTGCCGGACCACCACCTGAG